AAGCCAGCTACACTTGGAAGACCTCTCTGAGTAGTCATTTCCTATAGGGTCTAAATACTAGCACTAAAGTTACCTATGATAAGCAATTCATAAACATCAATACAGGAATTAAATATAGTTTATATATATAAATATATACATATATAATAAAATAAGACAGGAAAACAAGTTGCAACAAGATGCAGACTGGGGACAATGAAATGGAACAGTTCAAAAGCCACCCACCTGTACTCTAAAGTGCTAACAGCATAAGTAACAAGCTCCAGAAGAAAATCAAATAAATTATCTCTCAAATAATAGAGAGGATGCCCATAATGAAAAGACATGATTAGTGAACCTAGCTAGATTTGATACAAACAATAGGGGAACTTAGGAAAACGATGGAAACCAGAAGTACTCAACATAGGAAACAAATGGAATCCATGAAATACATTCAAAGAGATTAAAAATTCCATTGGAAATATACATGGTAAAATGAAATGTGAGAACATCAGATCTAGAAGACTGTGGTTAGAGATCATAAAAAGAAAAATTTCAAAACACTAAAGGACGACGAGAAATCAATCCAGCAACTTCTACATGATGCAAAGGATAACACAGGACTGCAATCACTGAAAAAGCAGGAAATGGTGCCAATGATGTAAAGATCCTATTTAGAGGTAATAGCAGAAAATTTCCCAAGCATGCAAAATGAATGACACACGGATAAATAGAGCATATGGAATTCAGATTAGCCATGATAAGGCATATGATAAGTTTCCAGAAATTCAATAGAAGGCCAGGTATGGTAGTGCACACCTATAATCCCAGTATTTGGGAGCCTAAAGCAGGAGAGTTACATAGTGAGTAGTCTGACTCACATAGTGAGACCTTGTCTCAAACAAAAACAAACTCAACACAAGAATATTAAAAGCTGCTAGAACCAGGCATGGTGGTGCATGCCTATAATCCCAGCACCGATGAGGCTGAGATGGGAGGACAACTCCAAGTTCAAGGGCCAGCTGAAACTAGTGAATTCAAGGGACAGTCTGGATATAGTGAGATCCTGTTTCAAAAATCAAAATGAAACAAAACAAAACCCCATACAAGAGCTGCAGAGAAAAAAAAAAAAAAAGCAGCTATAAAAGAAAGCCCATCAGAATCACAACACTTTCAACACATGCCCTCAAGTTAAGAACTTTGAAATATTTCAAACTCTAAAAGAAAACAAACAACACAAATTGATGTACCTCACAAAACAATGTTTCAAAACTGATACAAAAATAACCACTTCTGTGATACACTGGTCATGGTGATGCATGTCTATAGTCCAAGCACTCAGGAGGCTGAAGCAGAAGGATGAATTGTTGAGAACTCCAGGCCAGCATCCACTATAGTGAAACTGTCTCAAAAAGACTCCCTCGCCCCCCCCCCAAAAAAAAGGTATTTCTGTGACAAAGAACACCTAAAGAAGTTCATCATTACCAAACCAAGCACTCTAAAACATTCTGAAGGACATACTAGAAAGAGATAAGGACAACTCCAAGAATCCCAACAGAATGACTCTACCAGGTAAGTCAAGCCATTAAATGGAGGAAGAAAGGAAACCAACAAAATGAAATACAAGGATACGTCAATACTGATATGGGTGAATCCCCTGTCAGTTTTAACCATCAGTATAAATGGTCTGGATTCATCAATCAAAAGAAACAGATGTCAGAGTAGATCAAGAAAGATCCAACAATATGCTGGATATAAGAAACATTTAACTCAAAAAGAAACTCATGGACTGAAAAGTCAAAAGCCGGAAATGAATACTCCATATGACAATCTATGAACAAAGAGTAACTACTGCATTTATAAAGCTCAGTCAAGCTTAGACTGACCAAGAGACAAAAAGGGTCACTACATCCTAGTTAAGGGAACAATCCAAGAGGAAGAGAATACATCATAAATATAAACACCAGCATACAGAAAAATCTAATAAGCACTAACACAGTAGTAATGGGGAACCTCAATAACACTATCACAGATCAACTAGACAAAAAAAAAAAGGAAACAGAACTGAACTGATCTTTCGAACAAATGGACTTAGTAGATTATCTACTTGTTCCACCTCCATATCAATACACATTCCCCTTAGCTGCACATGGGACATTCTCCAATATAAACCACATTATCAGCTCGTAGAACATGCTTAATGCAGAGGAACTAAAGTTATCCCATACATCTTATCAGACTATAGTGCAAAGAAATTGAAAATCAATGGCAAAAGAAACCACAAGAATTTCATAAACACATGGAAATTAAGTAACATCCTCCTGAACAACCAATGGGTCACAGATGAAATTAAAGAAATCAATTTCTATAATTAAATGATAAAGCCAGTAAAACATACCAGAAATTATGGGATGCAATGAAGGCACTCCTGAGGGAAATTTGTAGCACTGAAGAACAGAGCAAATATAAATAAACAACCTAATGTTGACATAATTCCAAAATTGTTGTATAGATTAAATGCAATCCTGATCAAAATACCAACAGCATACCTCACAAAACTAGAGAAAACTTTTGTAAGATTCATTTGGAACCACAAAGATCTAAAATAGCAAAAAATTCCTAATAAAGGCAAGGCAAGAGGCATCTCAATCCATGATTTGAAATTATACTATAAAACTACAGTGATACAAAAAACAAAACATGGTACTGGCAAAACAAACAAAAAACAGACCTGAGGATCAATGAAACAGATTAGAAGACTCAGAAAAACTATAAACATACTCAGTCACCTCATCTTTGACAAAGAAGCCAAACATGTTCACTGGAAGAAAGATAACCTAATGACAGTGCTGGAAAAGCTGGATGGGATACAGAAGATTAAAACTAGACCCTTGTCTTTTACCATACACTAAGCTAAAGTTGAAACAGATCAAAGATCTAAATATTGACAAAAATACTGTATCTGCTGGAAGACAGACTTGACACAACTTTTGAAAACCAATACTGGTGTAGGTAAGGGCTTTATGAATGAAATCCTGATCGCAAAAGAACTATTGCAAAGAATCAACAACTGGGATTTCATCTTAAAAAGGTTTTGTACAGCAAGAGAAATCAAGTGAAGCAACAACCTGGGGGGAAAAAAATGCCAGCCGTTCTGCAAACAAGGACTAATATTTAGAATAAAGAATTGGAAAAAAATCAGATTCCCAAAATTAAAGGCCCAACCCAAAAATGGGCCTGAGATGAATACACATTCCTCAGACCAAGAAGTACAAACAGCAAATAAATGTATGAATAAATGTCACAGGTCAAAAGATGCAAATTAAAAACAAGGCTGAGATCCCATCTCAACCCAGAATAGATATTATCAAGAAGTCAACCAGTAACAAATGCTGGCAGGGCTGTGGGGAACCATGTGTTCAGAGGCAGTTTGTAATAACTAAATCTTGGAAACAGCTCAAATGCCCACCAACTGGTGAATGCATAACGATGTTTTTCAATATAATGGAGTGCTGCTCTGACGTAAAGGAGCATAAGCTTGAGACCTTTCTAGCTAAATGGATGCACTTTGAGGCCATTCTCTTAAATGAAATAAAACAGACACACATGTGTAAATGCTACACTTTCTCTAGCATGCAAGAGAAACCGAAGTGCAAATAAGGACCAAAATGTACAATCAGTATTGTGAAATAAAGAAATGTTCAAATGGGAACCAGGGAGGAGGGACAGGGCCAAGAAGGTAAAAGAAAAATAAGGAAAAATGGAAACAAAGCTTTTCTAAATAAGGAGAAGAGTTGAAGGGCAAGGAGAGGAACAGGAAAAAATGATGCAAGATATATTATCTGTACAGGTACAAATTCCCTACAATGAATGTTATTATTATGTGTATCTAAAATGTATCAGTATAGTCTTTTTGAGAAAGTCTCACTATGAGTTCAGTTTTGTCTTAAACTCACTATGTAATCCAGCCTGGCTTTTACAGCTATGTTCGTTTCCTCAGCCTCTCAAAGACTGATTACAGGTAACCACCTCCATGTCTGGCAATAATTTTAAAACAAAAGCTAATTTACCCCTCGTGTCAAGATGGCATATATGTATCATTTTGTCACATACAGGAAGACACCTCTCTGATTAAAATAAACATTTCTCTGTAATTACACCAGTCTCTACCACCTTGCCATTCTTTTGTTTTTTTATAGCACATTTTTCCATCTGAACCAGAATTCCATCCATAACGTAATTACTTTCTACTAGCAACTGGTCAATCTGGGCTCAGTACTTTAAACAAATAATTGGGACAGTACAGCCAGTCCAAGAAGCAACCAAGATAATGCAGTGTTTTAATGTAAGGGCGCAGTCTCCAGTGGTAGAATTCCTAACTCTTTTTTGAAAGACACAGAGCTTGCCCCTCTATTTCAGCAGATTTTGAATCTGCAGTTTTAATCAACTGCAGATCAAAAATATTTGGTAACAAACACATTTATTTTAGGCAGTATCGCCACATCAATAAAACAGTGTGGTTGCTATTGATCTAACATTTATAGTGTCTGAGGTATCATATGTAATCTAGAAATGACAAAGTCTATGGTGGATGTGCATGTGCTAGAGGCAGTAACAATACCATTTTACATGAGGGGATTGACGGGCCACAAGGGTGGTCCCAAAACTTATTCCCAGTGAAGATCTAGGGACAACTCTGTAGACACACAGCAAGTAGAATGATATCCCAAACCTCAGACTGGTAAGTTCACAATGGTAAAGCTATTAACTTCTCCATTAGTCTCACAAAAATTATAGGCAAACTAAAGCTTTTAACCTGAAAACAGATACAGTATATTGAACAAACCATGTCCACTACTCAACTTAGACATGAACTTATTAATTCCCAGCTGTACATTTCAAAATGAATCTGATTTTCTATGATCTCAAACTCACGACTAATTTTACTTTTAAAAGCACTAAACTTGCATGTTAAGAACTAATACATACGTTAACATAAGAAAATACATTCCAGGTACACGTTTTCCTTTAAAGGGTAAAAATTTTATTTCTGAGAAATTTACCGCACATTTTCAAAGAGAGTCATGAAAGAAAGCAAAAATGTTGTCCTCCCCCCATCCTAAAAATAAATAAGGGCAAACTTTTCTTTTTTTAAATCATGACACTTAGAAGTTTAGCACCAGCATCCAAAATGAACAAAAAAGGAAAAAAAGCATTTACTATATAACAATTTCAGACTTCTTTGGTTGGGGTTCTTCTCCCCATGTAGTATTACTATTTCTTTTTTCAATTATCAAAACAGTAAAAACCAGGAAAAAAATATAAACCTAGTAGTAGCTGAAACTGGGGAGGACGCTCTCCGTGTATCTCGTGCAGACATTCATTCTTTCCTGGGCTCGCAGCTGGCTGGAAATATTTGCTGACATCTTGCTGCAGTTGTTAGTTTCTCAAAGGATAGTGGTAAACATTCTAATGTCCAAATCTCAGTCTTCCACTTTATTGCTCAGATGTTTCTTTGGTGTTGGTAAGGTTGCGGGTGTACTTTTTGCTTTAGTTTTGAATGGTCTTCAATTCTTTAGGTCACCTGCAAAAATAAAAATCAAACTTATCAAGAGTGACAAAATGACAGACAAAAAATATTTTTCATATAATTCAAAACCAGTACATTGCCAGGCATGGTGGCACACACTGTAATCCCAGGATGCTGGAGGCTGAGGCAAGAGGGTCACTGAGTTTAAGGTCAGACTCACTTGGCTACATAGTTAGTTCATGGTTGGTTTGAACTGCATGGTGGGATCACTCTCAAAACAAAACCAAAAGTCAACTGTCCTATTACCTCATATCAATATTATCATTAGTCTCTTCCCAATATTAGACAAACTCTAAATAGTTAAAAAGAAAAAAAAGCTTTCTCTTTTTAGGGGAGACAAAGAGACTACATCAAAGTTAACATTAAGTTTCCTTCCACTTGAACCACTGATGGTACACGCAAGACCATTCCTGTCACATACAAATGGGACCAACCACCTTAATCTGTCTTTTTACTAATGAAATTAATTAAGCTGGGTGTGATAGTGCACGCCTGGAATCCCAACACTAGGGAGGCTGAGGCAGAAGATTGGCAGCCTGGACTACATGGTAAACTCACGGCCTGCCTGAACTAAGCAAAACTGTCCCAAAAACATAACTAAATAAATAAATTAAGTCAATAAAGGGACTGAATCTAGTTAGGTGTTTGAATTTGATTACTTCCAAATATTGTCATATCTATTAAAAATTATTACACTAATCAACAAATTTGTGAAGTCTTCTGTGCCTGTGGCATTTCATCATGGACTAAACAGTTTACCAATAATTAATTCTCTAAATTTAACATGGAAACCTTACAAGTATCCCCTTGCTGTATGTAACATCTATTCACAACAGCTCTACCACAGAAGTAGCTGTGTTAAAATTTGTTACGATATTTTTTAATAACACTTTAACTTCCAAACTTTAAATAACAGCTACCAAAGGATAAAGGGAGGAAAAGCAAATCTATTTTACAGCTAATTGTCTTCTGTTATGAAAAACAAGCCCATGTTAGCAACTTCAAAATTACCAAACTGGCCACTAGGGGCCACAGAAACATCAGTTTCCCAAAGTGGTAGTAACAGTTAAAAGCAGCCTAGAAGAGTTGATAGTCATCAACTCTGTCTTCATGTCTCCAAAATTTATCCAAATAAGGTCAATCCCAGGGTTACTGAAAACCCAAGAGTTGTTCCCTAGAAACCTGATGGAGACAAGGGGTTGGCACAGATGAATCACAGAGCGAGTTTAAACTAACGTGCACTGCTGCTGAGAAATCAGTGACATTTAAAGGAAGGGAGCAGCTCAGCCCTGGAGGTCAGGCTCTTACCCTGCTGGTGGTGAAGGTGCCCAGGGAGCCGGTGTCACTCAGCACTGCTCTGTTCGGCGGCCGGAGCAGGGTTCCCAGCTGGTGCTTCACCTGCCTTGGTCTACAAAGCACAAAACCAAAGCATAAGCCAGAAAGGAACCCACCCGGAGGACCAAGGCTGAGAGCTCTCAAAGGTGAACTTTCCTGCCTAGGAAGGAAAATCACCACGTAAAAAGTAGTAACTTTTATGTGTGTGAGTAAAAACGTTAGTCCACAGCAGAGAAGCTTCCAAATGGCCATTAAATATCCCAATTCTCCACAGTTTATAATATACTACTGCTTTTAGCCCACATTCACCAGCAGCTTCCTCTCCCGCTTCTCAGTGACAGCCCTAGACTCTTGGAACCTCTAATGGTGTAAGTGATCCTTTCAGAAAATGTTAGTTAGCTGAATTTAAATATTAGCCTAAGCTATGTTCAGGGCACACTTGTTATACATATGCCTTAAGCAAGCTACTATGTTAAAGCTAGGTTAGGGGCATACACATGTAATCTCTGCCTTCTGACAGGCTGGGGCAAGAGGATCAGAAGTCTGAGCTCAGCCAGGCCAACCTGGAGAGACCCCACAACGAAATTTAATTAAAAGGGTCAACAGATATAGCTCAGACAAAGGCTTGAGTTTAACCCTCGGTAATACACACATAAAAGCCTCTTAAGAATGCTAAAGTGTGATGTAATTAAAGTTGATCAGACAACATCCCTTCTTCTGATTGGTGAGCTTCACCTCTTTGCCATCTTGCGAGGGAGCATTAGGAGGACGGGTGCGACGCCGATAGTTGTAGGGACGCCGGTAGCCACGGCGAGGGGCTGGCTGGTTTGGACCATTGGCTGCTTGTTGGTTCTCTTTGTCCTCAGCCTCCCCAATAGGTGCCACAGGCCGTGGGCGAGGAGGCCCTCTAGAGCAGGAAACACAAAGCGAGAGAAGGCACACTGAGACCAGCACACCACCAACACAGGAATGCATGAGACGGGGGTTTATTGTTAAAATCAGCCTGTGTTGGCACATACCCGCAATCTCTGTCCCCAGGAGGCTGAGGCAAGACAAGAAAATATTCAAGGCTACACAGCGAGACTATGTAACAAGGCTAAGGTGATTAACCCCAGAGAGAAAAGCCGACATTACTTTATGCCAGAGCGTGTTTGCACATTAAGTATTTACTAGCAATGCTAATTCCCTGAGTTCCTTTACAGTGAGAAAACCAACAGGTGCAGAGGCGATAAGTATCTGGTTGAGCCATATGGAAGTGCTGTTTTTGTATGGCTTTAAAAAGGTCAAAGATAGCTTTCTCAACATCACAGGGCTAGGAGCTGACAGCACTGGGATTCACTTATGTTATTGTTTCCCACCTGCTGCAGTAAGATTTTCCCATAAGACTTCCTTTAATCTGCTTAGTAACTGTTCTAGTATGAGTCCTGGGAGGAAGGAGAATGTAGTCTGGTATGCATACTCTTCTAAGTGAAGCCATGTTGACAAATTTCAAGGTACAGGCTCAGGCTGCGCATGCCTAAACAAAAATCCAAAATGCTCCCAAGTCACCGTAACAGTTTCGCCCTTTGAGGCATTTCAGATTCTGGAATTTTGCACTAAGGATGCTCATTATTAAAGCTCTGAAATAATGAAATCTGAACCATCTCTGGCAACAACAAGGATTTCAGATAAAAGATATTCAACCTCTAGAGGAGAAAGGCAAAAAAGACAGCCTGACTTGTAACAAGCTGTGAAAGGATCTTATAGAGTCCAGTTCAGTTTTTGCAGGAGATAAAGCACAAGAGAAATAAACCACTCCATTTATGCCAATACTAACAGTGGTATAACAACTGATATTTACTGAAGGCACCATACTAATTTTCTCAGATACACTGGTACATTTATCTTATTACCCACCATAGAGCCCTTATTTTGGACAGTGTCTTGGTATGTAGTAAGGCTGGTCTTGAAGTCTATGTACCTTAGGTTGACCCTGAATTCGTGGCAATTCTAATGCCTCTGTCTCCCAGTATGGGATTACAGGCATGTGCCACCGCACCCCACTATGATTTCTTAATGTTCAATTTATAGACCTGGATACCACAGCAGAGTTCAGAAATCTACTGCTACTAAATTTCAGGGTAAAATTTAAAGAGAATATACTCCATAGCATGATTTAACTCCTACACTAGGCTACCTCAGTTAGAACAGCAAACCAAATATCCTGAAACACAAATTATTTGAATTATCCCACCAATTACTTTCTGATTATTTCACTTAATAAAAACTAAGTGTTAAGCTATGTGAGGCTTTACAGCTGCTTGCAATCCCAGCACTCTGGGAGGCTAAGGCAGCAGGGTCACCACAAGTTCAGTGGCAGCCTGGGCTACAGTGAGTTCAAAGCCAGCCTGAACTACATGAGACCCTGTCTCAAAGCCTGCACATGTGGTCAAAAAAGCCACATCTTTTAACCATTACTAGAAGTGCCCTTAAGGAGCCATCACTTGTGCAGTGGCCCATACCTGCGGTATCGTGGGCGGTAAGTTGGGTTCCGATGGACCGGGCCCTGAAGCTGAGCTCCCTCGGGGACTCCATCCTTTATCTCTCCAATCTCACCAGCCTAGAGAGGGAAGGAGAGCTGGAAATGAGTGATGTGGCACAGGATATAGGAATTTAAGAGCACACAGAATTATTTTTCAGAACTATAAACTATTTCATTACAAAACCAGGCGCCTCAGCTACAATGATGAACTACTTACCTGACTGACTAAATCTCTGTGAATGAAAGAAAAGAAAAACTCAGTCCTACTAGAATAGTGTACCACTTTATCCCAGAACATCCAATGTCACTAATTCAGCTTTTGTTTTGTTTTCCTGAGATAGGATTCTACTATATATTTCAGGCTGGCCTTGAACTCACTAATGTAGTCCAGGCTGGCCTCAAACTCATAGCAATCCTCCTGCCTCAGCCTTCCAAGCGCTGGAATTACATGTGTCACCATACCCAGAGACATTTTAAAATCTGACAAGTGCAATTTACAGGAAATGCAATAATATTCCATATATTGGAAAACGAGATTTTCATAATTCTTTTAAACTCAAACCTGTAACTCTACAAACTAGTGTCTCCTCAATCCCACTAAGGGTTTCTATAAAGGTTCACCAAAACCTTAACCATGGTTTGCAGGTAGAGCTCAGTGTTATAAATGACTGCTCAGCATGTGCAAGGCCCTCAAAATCCAACAAGGAAAGAAAAAGAATAAAGAAACACAAAACACATCCTTGTCTTTCGGCTCTTTCTTTCAGTTTTTTTCATCTGTTCATGTTAAGTATAGTGTTTTTAAAAATCCTAGTGATTAACACATTTACTTTAATCTGGGAGAATTAAAAGTAATTTATTGAACATCTTCAGGAAGAAGACAAACTAAAAACAAACCTATCTAAAAACCACCAATAACCTGGATCTTAAGCACAATTCAACTTTCTCTTTTAAAACTGGCCCTCCTGTTTTGGGTCACATTTCTCTAGGAAAAAAGAAGCAAGCAGATGGGAATCTCCACTGAGCCACCTTTATGCCTAACCAAGTGGCCTGCATTTTTTATTCTCTCCTCTCTACCATGCTAGGTAAGTGGTTTATGCCTACACCCCAGACCAAGCCCTCTACTCTCACTGGCTTCTCCTTCACATACATTATTTCTTCCTTCTTTACTTCATTTCCATGAAGGTGTAACCAGCACGCTGAAATAGCACCCGTCTCATTTTGTAATTTCAAAATATACACAAACTTAAGGCAAGTTCAAGGACAGGACCTCATCCTCAGACCCCATCTAAGTAATTTTTACAGCTAAAAGGTCCATTAGAATCACGCAATGCATTTATTTGAACTTTTTTGACTGGAAGCTTGCAATAATCTTTACTTGGCACACATGACATCTGCACTTTGAAAAAATTACCATATGGTTGCTCCATAAAATATCCCACAATTTGGGGCACTTGGTGCTTCCTAAGATTTAGTTCATGCATCTTTATGGGAAATCGTCTAAGTTACACTGCACCTCACACACTGTCTCTGATTAGGTGGCACACGGCTTCAATCCTTGACCACAACTCAGGAGTGCTGCTCCTCTCTGCTAGGCAGTGAAGTAGTGTTCCCCAACTCCTCTTCCCTGTTTGTAACTAAGATTTTGTAAGGCACTACATACCTTCAAAGTCTGTGAATATTGTGTTACTTAAGTTTTCAGTATGTACATTTATTCTTTTATTTATATCTGCATGGACTCATAGTTTTCTGTTTTCTTCAATGAGTTAGAGTCTGTTCCATCACTACTGGCCAAGGGAAACCCCCTCATGCTGGCTCCTGCCCTCTTGCTGTGTCCCCAACACTGAGTAACTTCCTTGCTTTCTGGCACAAGATGTGCTTGGCTCACACTGTATTTTCTCTGCCCCAGTCCTAAAATGGGCCATTTTTCCAAAGCCATTACATTATAGAAAATGATCGCAGTGGCATGTATGCTCAATGCTAGTGAGGAGTCTCTGCTTTGGGGCCCTCTCTGTTGACAAGTACCAAGGAGCCGGGCACAGTGGCACAGACATGTAATCTTAGCACTCAGGAGACTGAGGCAAGAGGATTGCTGTGAGTAGACAATGTAGCCTGAGGTACATAAGCCAGTTCAAAACCAGCCTGCACTGCACAGCAAGATTCTGACCAAACAAACAAAACAACCAACCAAACAAAAGAAAGACATGAACCTACACACACAGCTACAGAGGGGAGCGTACACATATGCATCTGTATCTGCATATACAAGGGTGTGTGTATGCAAATTCACCTGCCCACCATGAACTACCACATCTAACACCTTCAGAAGTTTTTAACTGTGAGATCGGGGGTGAGGGAGTCTGAGGGAAACACTATCATAAAAAGCAATCAAATCCAAAGACCTCATCCTGATCTCACGTTTTCTTCCTGTAATGATTCCATTTCTCTCAACTTCTTCAGAGAATCCCCACTAAAGAAAAACACTCCTATCATTGGTACCACCAGAAAAATTTTTCTCAAAGGGGCATCTCATTTCTCTTCCCACTCACTCATTTCAATCAAATGCTGTCATTTATGTTTAAGCATTTCCCAAATGTGACCACTCACTGCTACTCCAATGCTAGCCCTGACCACTGTCCCCTGGGAAACCAGTAGTTCTTACAATGCTGTACTCAACCTTAAAGCAGCCTCATTACAGGAAAAAGGCTTTTCAAAATTTTCTTTTCTTTGCTGTTGATCTGGCCTATGGAGATTTCTAAATCTCTCCACACTCAAACATGACAGCATGGATTAGAAAGCTTCTGAGGGAAAATTTAAGACTTGGGCGTGCTGTTACTTCCAATGCAGAATGAGTAAGAACACTGGCCTGCATTCAAGAAAACTACATGCAGCTAGCGTGTGAGAACAGGAACCTATTTTCAAGTGACTATAACCTAGCATCCATGAATGACATCCTACAAGGCACTGAACCTTCAATTTGTAAAGGGAAACACATAGGAAAGAATCACCATGCTTTCAGAAAATACAGTACAGTACATATGCTAAATAAAAAGCCTGTGTATCTCAGGAAAGCACTACTAAGCCACTAAAAGTAACCCTGGATCACAACAATCTCACTTGAATTTCCTCTCCCCACTTCCTAGAACCCCAAGCGCTGCCCTAAAGAAACCCCCGTCTCATGCACCCCAGGATCTACATACATGTGAGTCTGGCCATTATTTTTAGCACATTTGTCAGGGGCAGCTGTTGAAGAGTAGAAGGGAAAAAAATCAAGTGATGCAGAAAGAACATGTATGCAGGATGGGATAGAAGTTTAGCAAACAGCCTAAACAGAATACTGAGAGCACTTTAAGGGGGCTCAAGGATATGAATGGGGAAACACTGCAGCTAGTAGTGGGAAAGAGAGAGATAGAGAATACATTCCTCCTTTTCCGACTGCAAAGTTGGTGAGGCTTATTAACAAATTTTACAATAACTCTGCTAATATTCTGCAGTAAAGGAAAAGAAATTAAGAAGCCAACAATGTCCATTTTATGTTAGTTTCTTTAAAGATCAGCACCATCTCATCGAAATGCGTAACTTTTATAAATGTTTTGTGTACTGCACTCATGGCACGGTAGATTTAACAGCCATAAAACCTTTATGTGGCCATTTAATGCCCCAGTTTTCAAGATACACAAATTAATCTCTGGAAGCTTTTGTTGTCTCAAAACCTCAGGAATCCTAAGTAGCAGACAAGATTCAAAGCCAGCCCTGTGACTTGCGACTGAGCTCTTACACAAGCCACCGAGCTCACCATTTCCTCAGTCCTCTGCAAGCCGGAAACCCCCCAGAAACACCCCCTGCCCACCAGGACAGCCTGCCCCAGGCCTGGCTCCTGTGGCTGTGCTTCCATGAGTGTTTCTAGAATGAGTGTTCTGGCGTAGCCTGGCCTGGGCTCCGCTTTGGTTTCTGGCAGCTGGTGTTGGAGGAAGAGGAGGAGCAGGAGAAGTGCAGGAGGCAGAGGAGGACGGCAGAGGGTGAGGGCCGCTCAGAAGTCCAGGCGCAAGGTTACCTGCGTTCTGCTGGCCTGGGGAAAGACCCGAGGGCGGCGGTCAAAGTTCTGTCCCACGTGGTACGGCGGGAAGCGCCGCTGCCGGAACTGAGGGTAAAACTGGGGGTGGCGCAGCTGGCTCCGGGCCCCCGAGAACTGCCTGTCAGCTGCGGGGGGCTCAAATCCTTCACTGCTGCCGCTCCCTTCCTCCTCCTCCTCCCCAGCGTACTAGCGAAGCAAAGAAACAGAGATTTAGAAGGAGTCCAGGCAGGGGAAGACACCAAACGAAGAACACCATTAGGCCGGATGAGGATCACCAAAAGAAAAAACTCCCAGAGCACAGATGCCCTTTGATAAACAGACAAAATGCATTTAACCCAGGTCCTCGTGTGAAAGATTCCTGGAATAAATGACATTGTGATTAAAGTAGATCTATGCAGATCAAACACCAAGCAGCAGAAAAGCAAAAGCCACCTATACCAAATGTAATAGTCATCACATTAGAACTGATGAGTCTCACTGCAGCAATCACCAAGAGGTGGACATCTGTGAGATTCAAAATACTGCTGAGCACCTTGGGGTGGAGCACCTAACACTTACGTCCACTAGGGAAGACTCGGGGCAACGCCCAAGAAAAATGTTTTGTGTTAACATATAAGACCTAAGCTTCTAGATTCCCATGATGATCCTGAGGTGCTGCTTGCCTGCTATGTCCTTTCTGGGGCTCTCAGCAGACTAAATTACACGTGGGTTTTAGAATCCAGGAGACAAAGAAATATGCAAAAGTACTAAGCAATATCACTTACCCAGGGTAAATAGCTTTTTTCTTAAATTTACATTGACATGAGTTATTTTAAATCAGATATATTTTACATTTCTTTTACTTTTATAGGATCCTCAATTATAGCTAAGCATAAAAATGCATCCAAAAACTTTTGAGAATCAATGATCTATATGGCATAACTCACCATAGCACTTTATTTCCTTAACGATTAATGTAGAGTTAGGATTAACCATTTTCTAAATGCAGATCTCATTAACAAAGAGAAATAATATAAAAAAACTTAAAATGAAACTACTTTAATCACGTATGACCAGGTTGTATTTTAATAAATTAAAACAAGCAAACTATCAAAGAATTTGTGATTTCATATTTTACTCCCTGAGGAATATAGCAAATCACCAGTTTTTATGGTAAGTAACTAGTTTTTAAAAATGACTGATATGTGCACATAACAACTCCTGGCGATAAATGTAAACATCTCAAGATGCAAATATGTACAAATAAAAATTTAAAATTAAAAAAAAAATTAAGGCAGACCCAATAGCATACACCTGTCACCCCAGTTACTGGAGAGGCTGAGGCAGGAGGATTGCAAGTTCAAGCCCTGCTTGGGTAACTTAGGGAGTCCCTGTCATAAAATAAGAAATTTAAGTAGCTCAGCAACAAGGCCTTGGGTTCACTTCCCAATACCACACACAGATACACACCCCTCAAAATAGTAAGTGTAAGACAGTATAAACTAAGTCATATCAATATCTTCTAAACTTTACACAGCCAAGTATTTCATTAAGAATTTTGCAAGACAATAATGATGACACCATAATTGCTGACCATATTCTTTTGATTCAACAAGCTGCTAGCACTTAAATATTACAACAGAGTATCTCTATTTACATACAACTTTAAGGGTTAAAAAAAAAAACCTGTAAATATCTTTTCCAAGTATTAACAGGAAAAGTCTTCAAGGAAAATTTTTTTGCCCGGCTGGGCCTGGCGGTGCACACCTAGAATCCCAGCACTGGGAAGCTGAGGCAGGAGGATCACTGTGAATTAGAGGCCAGCCTGGTTTACAAAGTGAGGTCAAGGTCAGCTTAAACTCCATGATAATACTCTGTCTCAAAAACACAAAATTTTATTCAAGCTTTTTCTATTCTTAATTCTAAATTGACCTCACAGACAAATTAATCACAGCTTGAGTTCTGTAAACTGAATGATCTTTAAAATCAATACTGATCTACTACATCCATACCCCTGCCTTCAATGAAGGCATGGAGATCATTCTCAATCTGCAGATATTTCATTGATATTTTATTTTTTAAAAATTTGCATAATAGGCAGCTACCATCCTATTGGTTTTTCTGTTTTTGTTATACTAGAGAATGAACCAGGGCATCACATTAAACTATTATATTATATCTAGCCCATTTTATTTTTTATTCTGGGACAAGGTCTCACTAAATTCCCCAGTCTGGGCTAGAGTTTATCATCTTCCTGCCTCAGCCTCCCAACTGCTAGGATTACAAATATGTGCTACTACACCCAGCTGGTAGCTACCACCCTGGATTCACAAAGTATCCTGAGTTTTATTACATGCTGTGATCCCTGATTCTAACTACATACATCAAAAATCTAGATAGTTTAATCCTCTTATTAATTCAAGTCTAACATGGTCTTCACAAGCAAACACTGAGTTCACTGGGTCTGTCTCAGGAATATTCCTTTAAGGTGAGCGGTTTAAGCAAAAGCTCTAGCCAGACAGGGTTTATAAATTTCTTCATCTGGATCGAGACCAATCTACAGGACTAAAAATCTAAGAATTACTGTTTCTTTACTTTCAAATAATAGGACAATGCATGCTATGCTAAATAAATCAAATAGCTACTTCATTGAGGTGAATTATTTAATCCTTCTGGGGCCAGCACTTAACCTACCACAATTCTCAAGCCATTCTCTTTTCTTTCTTGCCAACTGCTGTTTCTGAGGTCAACAGTACTCGTGCCAAGGGAGGAAACAGGTTGAATCCAGTGTGCCAGTGAGTGCCACAAGCAAAGTTCTGGCCAGATAAAGGAGCCAAACAAAAAAGACAGGCTATCTGCCAACCTTGGCAACACCTATCTTAATTAAGTCTCCTTATTACAAGATAAATGTCAGGAGCTTGCAGTCAGTGCCTCCTAACTGATGTAACTTCTGGCTGGCAACTTCAAGGAGACCAGTGGCTATGGATAATTTCTGAGCATTAAACATTTTCCTTTAAAAAAAAGGTAGTAATAATCACTTGTCCTATTCTCCAGTAGAGGGGGGAATTAACTGGACACTTCATTTGAGACATGGAAATATTGTCAGCTACTGTTTAGGAACAGAGGAGATGACATACATTGCGGGGAGGCCCACGGCGTCGGCCGTAGTAGCCACGCCGGTAACGGCGGCGGTCAGCAGCATAGCGGCTCCCTTCCACCGGGACACCGTCAGGGCCGGTCACGTTGGCTGCTTCAGCACCCTGAGAAAAGAAATCTTCAAATTAGCAAGAAGCCAAGCTCATTTTCCCAAAACCACAGCTCTAGACAGCCAGTGTCTCAGAATGGCAGTGCACAATAAGAATTCCTACCACGATCTCAGAATCAGACTCAAGTTTTACAAAGGGAATGGAGGCGCCTTGATGTTCTGATTGAAATGCATCCAGCTGGCTAAATTCTGCCTTCTGGTCTGGTTATGCCTCTTTAAACCTTCTATTTTCTTTCAAACAGACTTAAGGGTTCTTATTCTCATAGGGACACGTGTAAAATAACACGTCAGCCAGGTACTGTGGTGTAGCAGAGGATTATGCAAGTTTAGAAGGCCAGCCTGGGCTACGGCAGTGAGTTCAAGGGCAGTCTGAGTTATAAAATGACTCTAAAGAATAAAAATAAAATAATGCTTCAAAAACCTAAGAATAGCCAGACGTGGTGGTGCACACCTGTAATTTCACCACCTAGGAGGCTGAGACGGGAGGAAGATCACTGAGTTTGAGGCCAGCCTGGGCTGCAAAGCAAGATCTTGTCTCAAAAAAAAATACCCCAATATCTAAGAACAAACTGGAACAAAGGAGATTCAAGAGGGTCAATCTGTGGGCTGGGGATTTAGCTCAGTGGCATAAGTGCCTGCCTTCAAGCAGGCAGTCGTGAGTTCAATCCCCGGTACTGATTAAAAAAAATGAAAAAAAAAAAAAAGAGTCAATTTGTAAAACCTCAGGTTCTGAACATAACAAAAATGCAAAAGGTGAATGGCCTCTCAGAGGTCATTACTGACCCACATTTTGCTGTGATGTGCACCTTCACAAGGTTTGGACAGAGCCTGGGGTTACACTGGTAAAGACGATCACTTATGTGTCAGATGAAACTATGTGTGTGTGGTTTTGTTTTGTTTTCTTAAACAGAACAGTTTGAGGGGTGAGAGGGCAAGGGAAAAGCAAGGACTGAGGTATGTTGTATGCACCTATGAATATGCATATGAATAGGGAACTCAAAATCCTATGTATCTAATATGCATTAATAAAAAAAAATAACACACACACAAAAATAAGAGCTGTTAAAAACAGACACTGGCTTAGCAACTCAATGAGAGCCTGCTTCAAAGTAAGAAAATACTAAGGACATATCTTAGTGTAAATGCCCTGGGTTCAATTCCCACTACTATGCAGAGCAAAATAAGACTAGGGGATGGAGTTTGTGTGAAAAGTGGCAGTGTCAGAGAGTTAATCACTCAGCTTATGTAATTCAGCTGCCATGACTGTGGATCCTGGCAGTTACACCATATGCAGGTTTCTGGAGGATGGGAGGTTGTGGTGATAGCACCCCACTACGTAGTTCAGACTGGCTTTAAACTCTCAGTGATCCTCCTGCTGTGGTCTCCCCCAAGTGCTGGGGTCACAGGTGGGTAGACCACACCCACGCTGTATGTAGTTTCAATCTTAGTCTAAGTGGTTTCAATCTTAGTCTACATTGTTTTACTGATCCTGTAATAGACCACTGGGATCAGAACATAAGGCATTAATATTACATATTTAGATACATAATAGCATAAAACAATTCTGTAGACATTCTTCTAGGAGTCATCAGTTTTGAGTTGAACACTTAAACAAAACTCTCATATAGTCTTATCAAGATGACTTCAGCTTTTCTAAGCCCAAGTCCAACAGAGAAAGCAAGACTTCATTCAATATGAATATTCTTTTATTAAGAAAACATATTTTAGCTGTGTACTCTTGCTAAGCAGAAGTACTTACAAATTAGTCTGAAAACTTCAAAAAGTCTGTTCAAGCAGCTTTCTATCTATCTTTTTTTTTTTTGGAGACAGGGTCTCCGTGGGCAGTTTAGGTTGGACTTGACGTCACTATGTAGCCCAGGCTGGTCTGGACCTTGCAATGATCCTCCTGTCTCAGCCTTCCAAGTGCTGGGAATTCAGGCATGTGTCACTACTCAAGCTTTATCTATATTTAACACCTTCAGACAGTTCCCTTTAAATACCTGGTGCCCAAATAAAACTGATCATTTTAAATTTCGAGACATTAACATTCCCATAATGAAAGTTTAACATTTATTAAATGAAACACTGAGATGTCATACTTCACATATAAAAAATGTTTACAATCACATTAAAAAAAAAAAAAAAAAAGACACTTCTACCTAAAAGTGGCATCCTCCTACCACAGAAAGCTCTCTAGAGCAAAACTGAGGGCTGCTTCTCAGACACAAGCAGCATCTGCACACTTGGTTGCCAACCCACAATTTCTCACCTTCTCCCCTTCAACCACATCAAACTCCACTGTTTCTCCATCTCCCACGCTGCGCAGATACTTCCGGGGGTTATTCTTCTTGATGGCAGTCTGAAAAGAAAACACGATTCTATCTAAGCTATAGATTCCAGTACCGGCCAATGCTGAAATGATCTCACTGCTGTCAAGTGGACAAGTGTGAACCTGAAGAAACTGTTCCCCTATCATTACTTAAGTCAGCACCTTCCCACAAACCAATTAGCTCCCAAACAAAACAAAAAAAAACAAATAATGCTATACAATGACAGTCCATGTTACTTCTGGGTTTACTCAGCTCTTCAAGCTGCATCTTAACTGAGAAATACTTACTGCAAACTTGCTATATATCCCCCCTGATCACTTAGCTCATGATAGTGTATACTAAGCTTCAAAAATCCAGATTATAGCTCCATCAGCAAAGGACAGAAATGGCTTTGAGCTTTTACACCTAAAAACACCTACTTTCATGTACAAGAGAAACTGCTAACTTCAAAGTAATTTGTTGAGCTGGGCTTGGTGGCTAACACCTGTACCCCAAGTCTCAGGAGGCTGAGGCAGGAAGACTGCTGGGAGTTTGAGGTCAGCCTGAACTACATGGTGAGACACTGTTTCAAAGAAACAAAATAATTTGAAAATAGAACATGCATGGTGGATGATAAGAGACAAAAGAATTTAAAATAAAGCCAGGAGATCAAACAGCTCTGATAGGAGTAAGTGTGATGATCACAGGAATCAAAACATGTTAGTGCTGGGCGTGGTGGCACACACCTATAATCCCAGTTATTGGGAAAGCTGAAGTAAAAGGATCACAAGCTCAAGTCCAGGCTTGGCAATTTTGTGACACTATCTTAAAATAAAAAGGGCTGGGGATGCAAGTTAGTGTAGAGGGCTTGCCTAGCAAGTGTGAGCTCCTGAGTTCAACACTCAACACCTAAAAAATGAGAGAATCAATTTCCCCCCTGCCAACCCACCTTATAAAACATGGGGGGGGCGGAATGGTGATTTACATGAAGTCATAAGAGAACAGCCCTAAGGGGCAGATAAGGAGAGAAATCCATATCCCTGTGGTTTATCTGCATATTTTTTCAGCACACACTCATGTGCCAACTGCTAGGTTTTCTAATGCTACAGTAACTACATAATAACAATACATTAACAGATTAACAAAGATGCTATTGTGCACAGTAAATATCTGCTTTTGAAAAGACAGATCTCTTTTCTCCTCAAGGGAGAGAAAAATTCTGCAACCAATTTCCATTTCCTTGGCCGGCATCTCCTAATCACTTAAAGGGGCTCCAGTTTGTATGGAAGTAGGTCAACATTACTTTATAAAGTGATTAGACATGTGTAATCCAGCCTTCCCCTACCCCGAGTAGGAGGGAGAGAAAAATAAAAGAGTGAGCCAACAGGGCAGAGGCCTCGCCCTCCAAGGAAGAGGCAGCTTGGGACAGGATGTATGCGCCCGCAGTACAGCACGGACAGCCAGCCTCTCCAAACAGGCCCTCCCTGCCGCCCAGGTCCCTTTTTCCTGTTAGACTGGGCAGGCCTCAGCACACTGAGGTGACTCACTGCCCCAGCTCGTGGGCTGCAATCAGGTCAGACTCACAGGCTTGTAAGGTGGCCACCCCTGTGGAACTCCTCTACCTCCAGCAGGCTCTGGCCAAGGCCCTGGCCCTAGCCCTAGCAGCCTGCTCACCTCTGGAAGTCATGGGTAACACTCGGCTTTCAGTCTATGAAGATTTTAGAGCTCCCTGCCCCCCAATTAAAAGTCAAATGATCTGCATGCAGTAGAATTCTACATGTAGTAGAAATGCATCTGCTTGTCAAGTACAAACATAAAAGATAAAAACCACAAGCAGAGACAGCTTTTCTGATTTTTTTTTTTAAATCTCCAACTCCCAAAAGTGACCTCAACATAACACAAAACTGGATGGAAACCAGAACAGAAAACCACATGCCAGTTTTAACAGAGCCCTGCAGGCAAACTCACTGGCCTTAGTACCTGCTCCGTGAATTTCCTTGTGGTCATGCACTAAAAACACACCTATTTCAGGAAGCTCAGAAAAATCGCATGTACAGAAAGAATAGGAAAATAGATGTTAACTTCTCAACCTATTTTCAAAGCAAGCAATTCAGGTATATAATAAATAAAAGGCTAACCAGGTAAAGACATACATGGAGCAGAAATTCATCTTCTCAAGATCTTATTTTGACCAGGACAGGTGCTAAGCCATTCTCATTTTCACAGGAGGGAGGCTACCTCCAGGGCAGTGAACATTTTTCTCACCTCTGAGATACACACCCCTAAATGTCTGCCTCCCTATGCTGACCACTTCACAGGAAAGAACTTTTAACCAATGCCCACCCAGGAGAAAAGCCAGTTGCTACAGAGCAGCCCTGGGCTTGGAGAAAAGGATGCTAACAGGAAAATAAGATTTTCCCAAGGACTCAGAGGCTTTAAAAAGAAAACTGAACTGTTGGGGAGATGAAAGGAAAAACAAGAAGCCATCACAGAAAGTTTAAAATACAGCAATAATGAATGTGCATGTCTCACTTTGGGCCAAGGAACATCTCTCCCCATATAGCAAAATGTAACATTTGTCTTCTTACCTGATGTACAAATACATCTTCTTTGGTGTCATTTCTGTTGGGAGACACAAACAATTCACAGTTAGAGGTACTAAATAGCTACAGAAACCTAAAGGAACAGATGTGTTAGGAATTTAGTTTTCAAGAGCTAAAAATACCACATAAATTTGTGTTTAGCCTTTAAAACTCAATTTAGACATCTAGAATCCATGCTCATTAAAAACCTGTAACTCGACAAGATACCTACCTACCTTATCCTGTGTTACTCTGCTGCTTAAGATAGAAGTCAACATACAGAAACCTCCCTTTCTTCATGTGTCTTTCTAAATCACATGGCATGTAATCAGAGCCCCAGACTTTCCTCCCAGCAAAAGCAAAGCAAGACAGCTAAAAGGCAGGGCACAGCTGTGAACTAAGCTCTTCTTACACTGAAACCTAAAACAGCCAACCCTCCACCCCACCCTCCCAAAACAGACAAGGAACCAACTGGAAGCTGTGGAAGGAGGGGACACAGAGAAAGTGGTATCATCCTGAGAAAACACCCTTCCTCTCCCTAGAGTATGCAACTGCCCCTGTTCCTCCACAGGAAGGAGCTACTACCAGTTTGGAGAAAGGAGTGACTTCCTCCCAGGACTTGGGCCTGACCAGGTCCACAGATCCAGCTCCATCACTCAGTGTGAGCTCAGGAAAGTTGCTTAACCAGTGTGAGACTTCATTTCTTCTTCTGTGAAGTTAAGGATACTGATTCATTTATCCCAAGGCTCTTCCTGTTTCTGATTTTATCTTTACTATTTATTTATTTTTGGTACCACGAATCGAACTCAGGGCCTCACATGTACCAGGCAGGCACTGTGCTGCTGAGCTATTTTTCCCTGGCCCTCTTATTTTTAGCTACCCTCTTCTTTCTTTTCATGATAAGATTTACAAAATTGGCCTCTTTATTAAGAGTTCTAGAAATGTATTTTGATTAATATTTAATAGCTACTAGCTTAGATATTTACAGTGCTTAGAAATCTTCAAACTCACATAATCCAGTAATAAAGTATGGCAAGGGATTTATTATAACTGCTAGTGTCACAAGCATAAATTTAAAACACAGACATACACGTACCGATTTATAAATCCATATCCATTTCTGACGTTGAACCATTTAACAGTGCCAAGGACTTTGGTGGCTGAAATAGGATTAAGCAGACAAATTAGTCTCTTGACCTACAAAGAGATAAAGCCCATACCACTAAGGTCTTGATAACTTACAAAAGCTAAAAACCTACCGGAACCATTAATAGCTTCATTTCAAAATAAATTAGGAAAGGAAAATGGAGCAAGTGAAGATATAAAGAGACTCAGCAGAAGAGTATACCTTTCTTTTCTGTGAAATTTTTCATTAAAACTATAAACTGAGTTTATAACTGAGAAACACTAGAAGAAAAGGTGCTGGTTAAAGATTCATGTTTCAACAAGGAATGGTACTGCTTGCCTATTATCCCAGCTCTCAGAGGCTGAGGCAGGAGGATCACCATGAGTTTGAGGCCAGTGTAAGGTATATAAGCAAGTTAAGACCAGTCTGTACTACATAGAAGTTCTGTCTCAAAAAGGGGGAGGGGGAGGGAGCCAGGATTCACCTTTCCCATATTAACCCAGAAAACCTTTCTAACTGCACAGAAAGTTTAGGTAAATCAACAACTGTTCCCACATCGTTTTCATACTGCACTATTATGCACTTTAACAAGCAGCAAAATAACTGCTTGTTAATTGCAAATCTGGGGTACCTACCACGAGTCAAAAGTACTAACGAACCTGATACCATCTCAGCTAGTTTGGCATCCACCATCCTGAGACAGGACATCACAGACCTTTGCAAACCACAGGGATGACTCTGGGCCTGATTCATGGTTGACCTTGCCCTCTTCAGTTTGTGGGGGCCCAAATTTGGCATCTTCTAGGAAAACCCCTCTTTAAGTTGATCATTATTTGTCATCAGTAGGACCATTTTACTACTCTGCCCAAGTTTTAGCAGAATTTCTAAATAAGTTGTAACTTCATAAAACGAACTTTGTAGACACATACTGAACTATTTTAAACATAATCCTTGGCACCAATTGCCAGTATCAACTTAGTACCACTAAGGAACTGCCTACGTCTAAATTCAGAAAAATGTATAATGCAATTATCCAACTCAGTGAAACTGTAAATCCAACAGATTACATTTATTAAAAGCTTAGTAGAGAATGGAAGTAATAATTAACAGTAACCTATACTGCCTATGTAATACAAAGTTTATAATAATTTCCAAAGAAGAACAATAAGGCTTCAGTTTTTAAATTCAAAGCTAAAATAGCGATTAGAACGTGCTCTGACGTGAGCAGGTTTAGAGTTTGGCTAAACTGATGTGCTTGGGCAAGTCTTTCTTTAGCTTTCTCTGTAGGAGGAAAAAACCCTGTATGTCTCCAAAGTCTTTCAGCCCAGATTAACTATGCATCCTCTAATCCTAACCCAAAGAGAATATCTGCAATGGAAAGACCAAACCACCAGAATCTTTAGTTTTGAGCCCATTCTAAAGAAAAAGTCTGAGATGTTTCAGATGTAAATTTACAAAAAGATGTAAATGTACAAGGAGGCCAATTTTTGATAAATTATGTCAGTTCTACATGATTTTTGTGCTTTTATTTGCCAAAAACGAATGATGTAAGAATAAAAGCATAGGAATTGTTTTTTTTTTTAAATGTCTAGCACAGTTGAAATAACCTTTAGAAAGGCAACATTAACTGGAGGTAAAAGAAGTGATTTTCAAGTCTATGGTCCAGGCTGTGGTCCAAGCTGTTTTTATTCCCCATTCTGGTTTTTACCACAGTATTATTTCCAAAGACTTCATAGATAAACAAATTCATTCACATTTTTGTTTTAAGACCTAACCCTACTTCACAGCACTAAGGGGTGGGGAGGGGGATTATAAAAATCTTGTGGCTTTCAATGTCCATTAGAAGTCTTGTTTCACTCATGTAAACTACTTTCCCTGCACCATGTGATGTAAATTCAAGACCTATTTCCAAAAACTAGAATGAGAGAATCCAAGAGCAGTATCCATTTCAGTCCACACTGCGTCTAGCACATTTTAAGCATTCATGTGTTTGCTTGGCAAAAGACAGGAGATGGCAGAACACACTGGCCAGAGACAGCATTGCACTGTCAAGTAGAAGGCTGATCTTCATTTTAACAGACCAAACTTAAAATTGGAAAGATGAAAGGCTCATCGAGGGCTCTGGGACATACAGAATAGCAGTTGCTGACCTAATAAAACAAACTTCATTTATCTGCTTATCTTTGAAGATAAAATCTACTTTCTCTGTCTCCAGGATCAAGTGAAAACCTGCAAAAATTCCTCTATTTAAGGCTGGGCGTGGTGGCACACACCTATAATCCCCAGCTCTCTGGAAGACTCAGATAGCAGACATAAAAGTGTGAGCCCAATCAGCAATTTAAGAGACCCCCATCTCACTGATACACAAACAAAAAAGCAAAAAGGTTTGTCTGGGGGTAAAACTCAGAAGGCCTTGGGTTGGATCTCCCTGTACCACCAAAATACTAAGTTACTAAGAATGCACCTTAACAGTGTTTGGGATAACAACACAAGCTTGTCTCATCTTACATGGAAGGGTTCCAAGAAACTCCTGGTGAAAACAATATCTCAATACAACATTCTCCACATTGAAGCAACTTGCAGTCCAACAATGTTACACTCAACATGACTGGCAGGAACTGAAGAAACAAAGCAGGTCTCTCAAGGTGGGCCATACTGAATCACTTTACATTATTCCTTCAACTTCACAGCTAGTGGGGGTGGGGTGGGAGAGAAGTCTTGGGGGAAACCAAACATGCCTCACCCAAAACAAGCGAAAATTCCTCTTCCTGTTGAGCATCCCACACCATCTGTTCATTTTCCTGTTTCCAGGAGTCCAGGATGATGCATACACCCTTCAGGGGGGGCCCTCACCACCCACTTGCTTCGCTGGCCTGTTTGAGGCCTCCCAGGGCGTTACTGAAGATGAGGACACTAAAAAAACGTATGGCAAAACCAACAACTGCCACAGAGACCCTTTCTAATCCTCCTCCAATCTGAATTTCTCATCCTCCAGCTTCCCATCTTGGATGACAAGTCCCAAGGTAACCATGTTTTGTGCAAACGTCATCCCCACTTCCCACCAAGTTTGTTCAGCTGCCATACCACGTGCGTTCCCACAGTACAGGAAGAAGAGCCCGCGCCGCGATTGGTGGACGCGGGCGGCTCCCTGCCCCGGGGGCAGCGAGGGAGGGCGCGAGGCTGAGCCCCGGGATCCTCGGCACGGATTGCAACATCGCCGCGCCGGCATGTGGCCGGAGCATGGCGCCTTCCCAAGCCCATGTGGGAAGGGCGTCGGGGACAGACACCTGAGCCTCGCCTGTGAAAGTCCTTCCCCCCAACCCTCCCGGTCTCCTCCAGCTCCTTCTCCTTCCCCAAGAGAAAAACTCTGTTTCCCCTGATTGCCAGCGACAACTCCAAAGTCCCGAGCCCACGTGTCTGTTCCTCCCCTACACACGCTTCTGCCTCGCGTGCCACATCGCCTCTCCTTTCGTCTTCGGACCTAAGCACTCTCCACCCAGTGCTTGTCTGGGTGACAAAGTGGAGACCCAGTCCAGCTCGCCGATCGGAGACCAGAAGTGGCGCGCACCCGGCGCAAGGCGCACAGCGCGGTGCGCTCCCCCGGGAGGGACCCACGGCGGGCAGCGCGGCAGCTGCCCAGAGCTCCGGGAGCCCCTACTCCGTCACAGCCCGGCCCGGCACTTAGCAGCAGCCCTCGGTCTCCCGGCCCGACTCACCGAGAACTTTTTTCTCCGCGTCTTCGCCGCTGGCAGGGGCCGAAGAGGCGGGGGCCGCGGTGCCGGCGGCTGCGGGGGCCGCGTCCCCACTCGGGGTCCCCGCGACTTGGGCGGCGGGCGCCGGGGCCGCGGGGGCCTGGGTTGCGCCGCCGGGCGCCGAGCCTGGGGGCGCGGGCGCCTGGGGGCCCTGCGGGAGGGTGGTGGTGCTGGTGGTGCCGGTGGTCTCGCCCGCCTCGCTCATGCCGCCCGCTCTTCTCGGGCACCTCGGTGGCGGTTGGCGTGCGGTGGCGGTCGCTCGGGAGGCCGGTGTGGGGCTCGCGGCGCGGGCGGCGGCCGGGGTGGCGGCGTCTCGCGGCTGGGGGAGGCTCGAGCTCCGGCTGCGCGCGCTCGGCTCCGGCGCGATCTTACTGCCCCGAAAATGGCCCCGCGCAAGTTTTTCTAGGCGGTCGGGGAGGGAAGGGCGGGCGAGGGAAGAGGGTGGGGAAACTTGGCTTCAAATGGGGCAGCGCTTTCATTAGCATTTAAAGGCGCCCGGTGCTCTTTCCAGCTCACCGCTCAGCCCGGTGCTGTGGCACTGAGGAAAGCAAGGGTGCATGAGGAGTTGGGGTTCCAGCCCGGAGCTCCCCGAGCAACCTACGTTGCCGTCCCTTTGTCGGAGCTGGGCTGAGGGCCTCGCCTTCCCACAAACACTCTACACCTGCATCTGACCTTTGTAAGGAATAAAATAGGGCATACCAGTCACCCTGCGCGCGCTCAGACACTGGATGTGAAACCCTTTGTGTTCAACCTTTACCAAGCATCAGAAATTACTCTTGATACAGCTATTCGAAACTAGAATAATAAAATGTTAAGACTGTTTGGCAACTTAGCCCTGATAGATGATCTACGGATAATTTCATCTATAACCCACAGGTGAGAAAATTGAGGTCCAGACCTCAGAGAATCAATGTAAATCCACAGATTACACCAATCTAAACAGAGAATGAGCTCTCTGCGTGTATTTAATAGTGTACATGGAAAAGAACGAATAAACCGTTACCCTACTTGCTGCTCGGGTTGCCTCCCCTCAGTTGGTGAAAGCTTAAGCAACAGAGCCCTGTGAGCTCAGAGTTGAGGTGGGGGATGAAACACATCCGCAGTAAGTGTTCCGGGTTGAAAGAAAAGCCCACAGAGCCTTGCAGAAAGAGCCGAGCCCTGTACCCAAGGACTGTTGGACTATAGGGCTGTCTGGCCGCTAGGGTTGAGGCAGAGCAGGTATCAATTTTGCCAAGGCTCTTTTATTAACAGTTAACTTCAGACAGGAACTCAATGTCCCAGAATCAATTTCCTCCTTTAAAATTTCTCAAAGGTGCTGTGATAAGTAGATGAGATTGTCATATGTGGCTCTAGAGTGTCTTCAGCAAAAGCTCCCTGTCCTCCACCCCCAAACTATTTCCTCACTGTTTTCCTGGAATTATTGCCTGGCTGCCTGCTCCTCAGGAGCTGAGCTACCAAATGCTGTTCATCATTGTCTCTCAGCTGGTGAGTGTGGTACCTGTCATAGAGCCTTGAACACAGTAGATGTTTTTACAAAATGAAAACAAAAGAAGAAATTCTGCTACATTCATGTGGTTATCTACATATTCATTATTAACTTGAAGCATCCTACCATCTTGCTTTCTAATTGTACCCACGATAAACCCAACTTAAAGAAAGCAAATTTTTAGAAAAAGTAGCAAAGCATGAAACTTTTTCATGTCATTCGTGTATACAGTTTAGGGGTCCCCGATTCCTAAATGTTACATTCGTATTTTTGTACTATTGTAACATAAAATACACAATTATACAACATAAATATATACACCTAAAAGGCAGTATAAGTCTAAACCTAATTAAACTAGTTCTTATGTTTTAAAGACTATGGTCTTTAAAATCATAAGCATGCTTTATTCTGATGAGAATGGGCATTTTCTTCTCCAATAAAATGATTATCATTAAACGGGAGCTGACGTCTTCAAGCTGGTTCAATAGTTAAGCCCCTTCCTCCTTTTTTTTTTTTTTTTTTAAATTTTGAGGCAGGGTTTTGCTATGTAGTTTAGGCTGCCTTGAACTCATTACCTAGCCCAGACTGGTCTCAAACTCACAGTAATCCTCCTGCCTCCCAAGTGGTGGAATTATAGGCATACACCTCCATGTCTAACAATAGTTAAGCATTTTAAGAAAATATTCAACCTTTGGAAAATAATTCTTAGTGAACAGTTGTCTGCAACCTCTCTCCCAGACCCTAATTACAGATGTACTCCAGGATTTCCTAGAATTTATGCCAGAATGGATCCCAAATGATTCATGATTTTCATCCAAAAAAAGCAGCTGGAGTTTTAGCTACTGTGCTCAATAAATGTAGAAAGAATTAATGAAAACAAACATGAACAAGGTTGTTTAATAATCCAACTAAGAAGTGACTTGTGTACAGATGTACATAAATTCATTCTTTCCTTCCCTCACTCTTTGATTCACATGCTCATCCACATGTTTACTAAGTCCACACTCTGTGCTAAATTACGTGTATCTGTTGTTTATCGTAAGGACACTTGCTCTAAGACTTTTGTGTGATGATAAATATTCTCTCACTAGCATCTCTATTGTAAGAAAGAGTACTTCTTAAATTTGAAATTAACTGGACCAAAAACAGCAAAGAGGATCATATTCTAATTGCTGAAAACAATAATTTTTAGCAATGACCTCAAAAGCCACTCTATTCCCAGCCGGAACAAAGTTAACCCCTGCACAGCTGCTGGAGAGGGGAAGGGCAAACAGCTGGGAAGCTCTGCTGGAGACCTCAGAATCCAGCTCAGAGCCAGTGGTGCTCAGGATTTCTCCTAAAGAAGCCACCAGGGTCCTAAGAACTCTAGGAAGCTTTCAGCCATTCTGGCTAGATGCAGGTTCTGTGATTCTTAAAGCTGGTAGAGTTTAGAGAGCCCTCTTAAAAAAAAAAAAAAAAAAAAAAGTATAAGTCTGATAGCCAAACTGATAGGGCAGAGTATTAGAAAGGATCCACACAAGGGTCCATGTACATGCAAGACAGAATCCCTGAAACTTGCCATCCTTGCATGAAGTGTGTATCTGCACCAGCTGTCTTGATGAGTCGCACAGATGCAGCAGCTTCTCAGGCTCACCTGAAAGCAGCTGTGAGCCTCCATCTGCCCACACACCTTCCTGTAACTGACTGAGAATAATAGTCTCCTCCTCCTTTACTCTCAAGATCTTAAGTGAGTGTCTCTGCTTCACAGACTCCAACCCAGAACTGTAAGGGGAAGAACATGCTGGGAGATGCAGTTCCTGACTTTGAAGAGGCGAAGGATGATGCCAGGCTGACATGAGATTATCCAGCTTTTCACCCTCAGGAAGAGAATACTATGAATTGACTCAGAAAGCTAAGGAGACTCCAAGCTATTCGAGAGACTGGAGCTTTAAGCAAGGAAGCCTTGATACATTAGCATCTAAAACTTGAAAGAGTGAAGTATTCATCTACACCTGGTCAATGCTAAAGCAACAAAGGCAAGAGAGTGGTCAGCTGGGAGTCACAGGTAGGATATGGGAGCCAAATAGAGGAGTAAGAGTTTCTAGCAGTGTTCCTTGGGGAGGGGCCCTGATTGCTATATTCTGTTTGGCTTTCACAATAATGCAGCCAGTGTATTTATGGGTCATCCCTGTTAAGTGTTAGGACATCATGCAGAATGGGGCAGTAAAGGCCCCAGTATTCAAGAATTACAGACCACATATATAACTAAATTTTTTAGCAGCCACAGGAAAGAAAGAAAGAAAGAAAGAAAGAAAGAAAGAAAGAAAGAAAGAAAATTAATTTTGATACATTTTTCATAACCCAGAATAGCCAAGAAGTGTATTATTTCTACATATAGAAATAACTGGTAAAGTCAGGCATCATAGCACACATCTGCAACTCCAGCACTCTGTGAGGCTGATGCAGGAGAATCACATTTGAACCCAGCCTGGACAATTGTGGGCTTGGCAGTACCTGGTCTCTTAGTTTAAGGGGAGAGGGTATAGCTCAGTGCAAAGGCTTTGGGTTCAGTCTTCAACACCTCAAAAAAAAAAAAAGATTAGTGATGTTTTTATAATCTCTGACACTATCTTCAAACTATCTTCAAACTCTAGTATGTACATTATACTTATGATACATCATGCATTTAAAGTACTCACTGTGAAAGCCAGGCATGATGAAGCACACCTGTAATCCCAGAACTCAGGAGGCTGAAGCAGGCCCAGGAGTTCAAGGCCAGCCTGGAGTATACAGTAGGTTCAAGGTCAGCCTGAATGACACAGTGAGACCCTGTCCCCAAAAACTAAAACAGTAGAAAAACAAAGTACTCAGTGTGACCAGTAGATATCATACTGAGTAGTGCGAGTCTATACAACTTGGAGTTCAGACTGAATCATTCTCCAAAAGTTCATTATGGTCCAGACCTGCACTCTGAACAACACATCAGCTTGGTTATCCAAGGAGAGGGCGCTACCTGTCAGGCTGCTTTGAACTTCTTTAATGGTATATAATAGCCAAAGTTTTTCCATCATTCCAAAAAACTATGTGGTCATGTTACTGATAAACTCCAGGGGGTGTAAACAAAGTGAATTTATAATGGCATCTCTTGCCACACTGCCTTTGTGGATAAAATGCTCCTTCTTTAACTTTAATCCATGTTAAAGTGAGTATATGTACAAGTGGGTAGGTATACAAGTACACGTCCTGTCTGTCAAAGAGAAAATAGAGTTGAAGATCAGCTGTAACAACTTTCTCCTGAGAAAATATTGCACTTTTAGACTTGAGATTATTTTTATTGTTTTGGTTTGGCCTTTTTTGTTTTGTTTTTTTTTTAGATATGATCTTGCTATGTAGCCCGGACAGCAATCCTCCTGTCTTGGTCTCCCAAGTGCTAGGATTACAAGTGTGTACCACCATGCTTGACAAGACCTGAGATTATTAAGGCAGAAAGAAAGAAAGAAAGAAGAGAGAGAGAGAGAAAAAAAATAAAGAGAAATAAAGACAGCAATTACTAATAAATTGAAAAAGTTTAAAACCTGATTTGATTTTATATTACAGTTCCAGTTTCTCGCCAGGCATGGTAGTACACACCTGTCATCCCAGCACTCAGGAGGCTGAGGCAAGAGAATCACTGCAAGTTTGAGGTCAGCCTGGGCTATAAAGAAAGTTCAAGGCCAGCCTGAACTGCATAGTGAAACCGTGCCCCCCCCCCAAAATAAAAAAAAAAAAAAACCTGAAAGGAAACTTGATAAATTATCCATTTCAAGCTTGCTTGTGTTAGAAAGGATAAACTTCCTCCGAGGCATAGAGAAATGAACAGCTTTCTCAGACTGATTCCTCTCCACGGTGGCAAAGCTGTGATGGAAACCTGAGT